CATCACCTAAGGTCATCACTGAGCCATGGTGGCGCAGTGGTTACAATGCAGTACTGCAGGCTAACTCACTGCTCACTCCAGGAGTTCGATTCTGAGCAACTCAAGGTTGACTCGGCCTTCCATTGTTGATAACATGAGGATTGTTGGGGGCAAAATTTAGAGAGGGCACTTAGAGATGGCTGTAAAGCACTATGAAGCTGTATATAAGTCTACGTGCTGTTGCTATTGCTACTAATTCTGCATTTTCTGGGGCAATCCCCATCCTGATCCAATGTCAGGTCTTCACAGCCTTCTGGAAAGCTGAGAGTGTAGATCTCAGAGAAGAGGTGGTTCCATAGGGCAGGTGTCCCCCTAGATGACAACATTTAAGAGAAGGGACATCTAGGGGCTCCTACTGATAATCATAGGATTTTCTGTTGAAATAATCTGCTTCCTTTCTTTGCCCCCAGAAATTTTTACCAGAAATTTAATCAAATCTTGCAATTTCAAGGGAATTCTGGTCACTATCGTTGTGGGGTGCAGAGTTCAGAGTTTAAAACATCCATTTTGTTCTATAACTATCTTGCATTAAAGAAAACAACCCTGAGGTTGTTGAACTGCAATTTTTGCACTTTTTAAATATACTGTTATGAAGCCAAAGTTTCTCAAGAGCTCAGCAGAAAATATAACACATTCACAGCTGATCCTTTCCAAGTCTCAGTGGTGTGAGGGAAATTAAAAAAAAACTCTGCCAATTCACTTTTAGATTGCTTCCCATCTCTTAAAAAAAAATGACATATCAGAGTTTTTGAAAGAGTAGCTGTTCTTTTCAATGTTTGATATGCAGAGATGAACTGGAGGACCTTATGCGAAATACTTGTTTCATAGGATGAGCCCCCGGTTATTACATTGTGGCACTATCCTGTTGATTTTGCTGTCCAAGTTTGATTGATTAGTATGAAAAAATATCTCCAAAACCATTTTTCCAAATGTAATTTGTCATTCCCACTTCAGGGGTCGCTATATGTTGACTATAAATTTTTCTGCATTGACCTAATGCCATGGGGGAGGCAGTTTTTAACTCTTAAGATAACAGGGTAGTTTAATGTCATGCTGAATATACTGTAAACAAACTGATATACAGTAGCTTATAAACATATTTATTTTGCAGAGCTCCTTTTGTACGTTAAATGCACAGCAGTGACTTTTCTCTCTGTTATACAGAGGAGCCCATATACTGTTACACACCACACAACTTCACCCGGGATCAAGCCTTGTATGCCAGAGGATACTGTTGGACAGAGCTAAGAGATGCATTGCCAGGTGTAAATGCCAGCCACTGGCCTTCCTTGTTTGAGCATAAATTTCTTCCGTATGCTTTGCTGGCTTTTGCCGGCATTATGTACATTCCAGCCCTTGGGTGGGAATTCTTGGCTTCCACCAGACTGACTTCTGAACTTAACTTTTTGCTCCAGGAGATAGATAACTGCTATCACCGAGCAGCTGAAGGCCGAGCACCAAAAATCGAAAAACAAATCCAGTCAAAAGGCCCAGGGATAACAGAACGCGAAAGAAGAGAAATCATTGAGAATGCAGAGAAGGAAAAAAGCCCTGAGCAAAACCTGTTTGAGAAATATCTGGAACGCAGAGGGCGTAGCAATTTCCTAGCCAAACTTTACTTGGCAAGGCACCTCTTCATCATATTTTTAAGCATCATCCCCATTACGTACCTGTCCACCTATTATGCTACCCAGAAGCAAAATGAATTTACATGCGCTCTAGGAGAACCTCCTGACAAAACCAGCAATTCCAAATTTATCATACGGGTGAATTGCAAGCTGCCCTCTGTTCAGCTGCAACGCATAATTGCTGCAGTGGACATTGTCCTCCTTTGTTTCATGAACTTGATCATCCTCATCAATTTGATCCACCTTTTCATTTTCCGCAAGTCCAATTTCATATTTGACAAGCTGAACAAGGTTGGCATAAAGACCAAGAAACAGTGGCAGAAATCTCAGTTCTGTGACATTAATATCCTGGCTATGTTTTGCAATGAAAATCGCGATCACATCAAGTCTCTAAACCGCTTAGATTTCATTACCAATGAAAGCGATCTGATGTATGACAATGTCGTGCGGCAGTTGCTTGCAGCTCTAGCCCAGTCTAATCATGATGTTACCCCAACTGTACGTGATTCTGGAATACAAACAATAGACCCCAGTATTAACCCAACAGACCTTGACCCTAATGAGCCACTAATCATCAAGCGTCCTCGGAAGAAAATGAAGTGGATCACGAGTTCCAATCCCCTTCCTCAGCCATTCAAGGAGCAGCTAGCTACCATGAAGGTTGAGAATAGCAAACCTGAGAAGCCAAAGCCAGTGCGCCGGAAGACAGCAGCCGATAGTCTGATTGCACCTTTGCTGGAAAACAACTCAAAACCTATCCAACCATCTCCCATTCACAAAACTGAACCCAGTACTCTGCCTAGCACAGGTAATGAAAAGAAGCACACACGTCACTTTTCCTTAGATGTTCATCCATATATATTGAGTAATAAGAAACCCAAGCAAGAAATTCCATCCAATAACTCTGTGGCAATATCCAAAAATCAAGAGAGCAGATTTTTAAGCCAAGAAGACAAAGCCATAGTTCGTGTCACTTCTTCTCTTAAAGGTATGGAAATATTTTAGCTACTTTTTTTTCCATTGCAGTTGCAGCTAACATAATGGCTTCTTATTTTGGAATGTTTGAAATGTGGCTGAGCTGATTGGGATTCCTTTCTCCATACTGTTGATACCTTGCATGATAGCTGTAGCCTCTGCTGGAAATCATCCATCAGGCCGATCCAGAGCCCTGAAAATGTGACTGATACAAACTGAAATATTGATCACATAGTGTGGCTACCACACAATAAATGGGGTGTGTGTTAACCTGAAATTTATCAGCAGGAATCGTGCTTTTAAGCTTGGAATGTATGAGCCATTTGTGAATGGCTACAATTTTTATAAATATATTTCTAGCATTGGTGTGGTTCAGGAAAAACGTGTCCTTGTGCCACTTAATCAGTGACTCAGTTCTGGCTTCATTTTTTTTCCTCCTCATTATTTTTCTCATGAAATCTAAACTTCTTGGGGACACTTTCTTGCAATTCAAAACATCTTGGAGATGCAACAAAACCACAATAAATGCCAGATATTAACAGGCACTATGGCAGTGGTGGGTTCCTCTCCCTGTCACTACCGATACGGTGCTCATGGGGCCGCACATCCTTTCGTGCACACGCACTGCGCACTCATGCACACTCCACCACCACCCCTGCGACACCAAGCTGTTTGTTGGAGCTCGGGCAGGCGACGCACATTGTGTGTGTGCGCAATTGGCCAGTTGCTTTAAAAACCGGTGTAGAACGTGGGTGGGTGGGTGGGCCAAATGAGCCACCATATCGGTATGCTGTCAGCTGCTCCCGGCTACTACCGGTATGCCCTTACCGGGCCGGAACCCATCACTGGACTATGGGGAGGGAATAGAATAGAATAGAATAGAATAGCTTTATTTGGCCAAGTGTGATTAGATACACAAGGAATTTGTCTCCAGTGGAGAAGCTCTCAATGTACATGCAAAGCCATAGGATAGTATTAATCATCATAATGAAAACAATAAGAGGGAGTAGTAGAGAAGATGAGAAGGATAATAATACTACAGCCATACCACATGGGTAAATATACTTAGTCATAATACAGTACTGTGAGGATTAGGTGTTCAGCAGAATGATGGCACGAGGGGAAAATAACTGTCCCTGTGTCTACTTGTTTTGGCATGTAATTCCCTACAGCAGCATCCCTAGGAGAAGAGTGTATTGAGAAGAACATCATAGGAACCTGGGACAAAGAAGAAATTTGACCTCTGGCTTCTATTGATTTAATTTTCTGATAACTTAAATTATTGTTCCTTGCGGTATTTCCTTCCTCTGCAGGATTTCAATAAACACCCACACTCAAATATAGTGATGCTATATTAAATACTCATATGAAATTTAAGAATAATCCAAGAATTTCCTTAAATGACTTCTGAAGAGAGTACTGTTGCGTACTTAAAACAATTTGACTCTGTAAAATAATATAATATTGAAGCTTCCCTGAAGTTTTGTCCTTATAGTTGAATCACAGAATGTTAAGTAACCTCATTAGCTTCAATGAAGCTACTTTGG